TTTTGTAACTAGCTCAAGGAATGGAAAAGATAATCAAGAAATTCTTTGCATTTTACTATCTGGATAGAGATAAGAGCAACAAGACACCAAGATTTCAAGAAAATAATTATTGCCTCCTTATTGGGAACACTCAGACTTGGAGGAGCCAAGAAAATTTATTTACAAGATGAGGGGGGAAGTTGAAATTCAACAGAAGCACCCTTAATTTGAAAGGAATGTTTGACTCATGTAGGAGATATAAGAACTTGCAGCAGGCTATTGCTTTTAGGGGTTAATCCTTTGTTTTAAGGTGTGCTTTTGTGGCTTAGTGCCCAAGATTATCCGGACATCCGTAATGCTTTGCTTTTAATTGTCTTTTGTTGTCCTAACTTTCATTGTCCAAATTCTTATTGCCCTAGGTTTTATTACTATTTTATTACTATTAAGCTTCTAAAATTTTAATTTTAAAGTGAATGGCGTTTTTTCACTTAGGTGTAATACGGTACATTGAGTACCGTAATTCTTATAACTACCCTTGTAACCCCTTTTTCTATATAATAATCAAAGTTTTAACAGTGCATGCTTAACAATTAGTAACTATTTTACAACAGTTTATTGTGGGGAATCCTTAAAATTAAAGGTTTCTGGGAAAGCTGCAAAAGTCAGGCCTCAGAGACCGCAGAACTGTGATCAGAGCTAAGCAGTAGCCATAAGATTTCTCAGCAGAAAAATTATACAATAAGTAGAAAGAAAAGACAATTAGAACAATGGTCAGTGCATTAACGCTTAGCTAGAATAACTCCTTAAGCTACAGAAAAGTATATCTAGTGAGATATTAGGAAGTTTCAAACTGAATAATGGAGCTCTGTGCATTGTATCTTAAGGCTTACAAGTATCATATTTGATTTACTTTTATAACAGAAATTTTTTGAGTCTTTTTTTGTTTGTTTTTTTTTAATTAATTGTCTTTTTTTTAATTTAAGGTATTTTTTTGTTTTGTTTTTAATTCTATTTTTGGGATAGGTAAATTAAAATATTTGTGGTTTTATACTTCGTATGAAATTTTGAATCATATTACCGTTTATACTATGTTTTTGTTAATCGGGTTTTATACTTTTTGTATAAAAAAAGACTGGAAAGTGGCACTCAGTGCCAGGGTTTACTTGAGAAGGTGGTGTCAGGTCATAGGTTGGACTTGGTGATCTCAAAGGTCTTTTCCAACCCAGCTGATTCTGTGGTTCTGTGAACTTTGGTGCTCCTGGGACTTTTCCTCTCCCAGAGGATCCTCTTCCACAACAGCCTCTGGAGGAGGGGACAGGGACAGTTCTGTGTCACCCTTGGAGGGGTGGGATTGGGGGCAGGGGGTGCCCACCTTGAGATGGATGAACTGGGAGGTTGGGGGGAGTCTCTTTTTAGGGCTTCTCGCAGCCCCCCAGCAGGTCCTCCCATCTGGGTCTGGGAGGGACCAAAGTCAGCACCCCCAGAGCACCCCTCTTTCCCTGGGAACATCCCCCAAAGGTGCCAGATCTGCTGGGTAGGCAAAGGGGGGCTCAGGGGGGCAAAGGAGAAGGGGCAGAGGGTTTATCCTGCTGCTGGTTCAGTGCCCAGTGCCACTGTCCAGCCTCAGTGCCCATCCTCGCTGCCCAGTCCAACCATCCAGTCCCTATTTTAAAATGCAGGTGGGAAGAAATGATAATTTCTGACTCTAGTTCAGAAGGCTGAATGGTTTCTTTATTATAACTATGCTATAATATATTAATATACTATATAAAGGAAATTACTAAAGCTACATACCTACTCTCTCTACCTACCAAATCTAATTAACCACTAATTTGTGACCCTGATCACACAGATGGATCCAACTGGCCATCAGGCCCAAATAATCCTCACCAGAATCCAACCAAGCAATCACCCCTGTAGGAATCCAGGGCTTCCCTCTGGCTGCCCTGGGACCCTGGCAGGGGTCAGGAACCCCCCTGGACAGAGCCCCCAGAGACACTGGCTGTGATCTCTGCCCATGGAAAAGAGTTTTCAATCTTACACAATGAATTACAAGCTCTGAGTGTTTGATAAGAGTAATAATTAAGTGTGACACGGGTGCAAAAGTAAAATTTTAGGTTTCTAGATTAGGGGTTCAGAGGGGACAAGATGGAGGAATTGGGTGTGTCTTGTCCTTTTCCTCCTTCTCCATGCCCTCCATGTTTCACTGTGGTGTTGGCATTTTTCTGTTTAATTATTACTCTTATCAAACACTCAAAGCTGGTAATTCATCCTGTAAGATTGAAAACTCTTTTCCATGGACAGAGATCACAGACAGTGTCTCTGGGGGCTCTGTCCAGGGGGGTTCCTGACCCCTGCCAGGGTCCCAGGGCAGCCAGAGGGAAGCTCTGGATTCCCACACAGGATCAGGGTGTCGGGGCCCAGCAGGGTGGACAAGAAGTCCCAGATTATCCCAGATTATGCCAGTGCTGAAGCCCTGGGTACTGCAGTCCTCGTTGTGGGCACTGACCCAGGGCCACCCCTGGTTCTTGCACAGGTACCCATCATGAAGCTACAAGGACCCTGATGGTGGGGACCCAGTGGTGGCAACCATGGGGGGACAGTGGTGGGGCTGCAAAGGGACCACAGAGGGTGACAGGGACCATGGTGGGACAGTGATAGGGACAGTGGGGGGATGGTAGTGGGGACTACAAGGGGACAGTGATGGGGACCTCGGAGAGCAGCAGGTCCTCCGGGTGGTGACAGGGCCACCAGGGTACAGTGACAGCTCCCTCAGAGGGTGACAGTGACCTGCAGCCAATGTCATCCCAGGGTGGGTGTCCTGGTGGAAGCTCTACATGTCCCTCATGGCATGGGCACAGGTGTGGGAGCTCCAGCATGGCCTCACTGGCTCCAGGGTGTGGTGCAGGAACACGGAGCCCAGCAGGAGCCACAGCAACTGCAGGGTGCCCCAGTAGGGACCAGCCCCACACATGCAGTGGGGCAAGGGGCTCCAGGTATCCCCTGAGCCCTTAGGGACACGGCAGAGTCCACGTGGGGACAAGGGGTTTGATGGGTCTTTGGGGACATGTGGGGACACCTGAGGGACCCTCAGCCTGGATGTGGGAGGGTCCTCCTGAGAGTTACTTGATGAGATGGGAAGGGGCTACTCAGGGTGTCCTTTGTGTGGGACATTAGGTAGCCAGTGTCCAAGGGACACAACAGTGTTGGCCATGGGGACATGGTGGTGGCCACCTAGGGACTGTGACCCAGGGACCACCACCCAGGGGAGAGAGTGGTGGTCATCCAGGGGACAGAACTGAGTCTATACAGAGGACACGGTGGCAGTCATCAAGGGAAAACCATGGTGTCCACCCAGGCAGCACAGTGGTGGCCATCCACAGGACATGGTGTGGGACCCAAAGGTGTCCCACCACACCAAGCCACCTGTCCCTGCCTTCATCTCTCAGTGCCCACCCACCAGAGTGACCCCACCCCACTCACCTGGGGTCCCATCTCCCCCCTTCCCACCCCATTTGTGCAGTGACAACCCCCATTTGTGTGGTGACAAACCCCCTTTGTGTGGTGACAACTCCTGTTTAGGGGGTGACAAGCCCCGTTTGGGGGTGACAACACCCATTTGTGTGGTGACAACCCCGTTTAGGGGGTGACATCCCCTGCCCATACCCACATAGCAGTCATTTAACTCCTGTGACACTGGACCATGGGGACACGCTGGCCCCCAATGGCTCCGTGGTGGCCCTGGGTCCCCTCTCTGCCAGCACTGAGATGGAACTGAGGTCTGGAGGATTTGGGCGACCCCTGTGGGGATGCCTGTGGGGACAGGGGTGGGCAGGGGACAGGGGTATGTGGGGGGAAGGGTGCGGATGGGGTTGAGCGAGGGAAGACACCCAAAAATGCATCAAAGCCAGGGGGAGGGTGGCCAAAATTAAGGGAGAGGACCAAAATCTGAACAATGCACCTAAAACTGGGGAAAGGACCTGAAACGGGGGGGAAAGGACCTGAAATGGGGGGGAAGACCCAAAAGAAGGGGAAAGAGCCCAAAACAGGGTTAAAGGACCCAAAAGGGACAGGGACACTCGGAAGGGAACAGGGTTGTGGGAATCCAGGGCTTCCCTCTGGCTGCCCTGGCAGGTCTGGGACCCTGGCAGGGGTCAGGAACCCCCCTGGACAGAGCCCCCAGAGACACTGGCTGTGATCTCTGGCCATGGAGAGGAGTTTTCAATCTTACAGGATGAATTACAAGATTTGAGTGTTTGATAAGAGTAATAATTAGGTGTGACACAGGTGCAAAGGTAAAATTTTAGATTTCTATATTAGGGGTTCAGAGGGGACAAGATGGAAAAATTGAGTGTGTCTTGTCCTTTTTCTCCTTCTTCATGCCCTCCATGTTTCACTGTGGTGTTGGCATTTTTCTATTAGTTTAGGCTGGGGACACACTGTTCAACTTAGATGATAGATATTGGCACATTATTATAAATATAGTACACGTAATTTCTGGTATTTAATGTTTGTAACATCCCACTGAGGGCAGAGCCCCACACGCTGCCCTGCAGGACAGAGCTGTGGCAGGGCAGCAGAACATGTTAGAGATAAACAGAATAAACAACCTTGAAACAGCACAGACGAATTATGGCTTCTGCTTTGGCAACGGGGCTGACAGACAGAGACTTTCTACAATCTCGGAATCACCAACACCCACAGATTCCGACACAGGGTCACACGGGAAGGATGGGGACGGGGACACTCCGAGGGGACAGGGACACACGACAGCGGACAGGGACACACGGGTGGGGGATAGTGATACACAGAGGGGGGCACGGAAGGGGGGACAGGGACACACACAGGGAGAAGGGAACACGGTGCCACCAGGATACACATGTGGGGACGCTGCCACCAGGACGTGTCAGCGCAGGAAGCCATCAGGACGCGTCAGAGGGCGCTGCCACCAGCAGGGACAAAAGGCGGATCCGGCGACAGCCAGGACACCGCCCACGCCCGACCCTTGTCCTGTCCCCAGCTGTCCCCAGGAGCGGCTCCATGGCGGTGGCCACGGCGCTGGGTTCCCTGGGCGCGGTGGCCCTGGGCACTTTCGTGGTGGCCCTGCTGCTGCAGTGGCTCTGGAATGCTCTGCTGGCTGTCACCCGGTTCCGGGCCACTTGTCGCCAGCTGAACAAGTTCCCCATCCCGCCCTGGCGCAGTTGGGTGCTGGGACACACCGGCATGGTGAGGGCACAGCGGGTGGCACCTGCGGGGACAGCGGGGACCAGGGGTGGAGGCACCTGCAAAGGAGCAATTGGGTGGTGGCACCTGTGAGGGGACCAAAGGAATGGGGTGGTGGCACTTGGGGGGACGGTGAGGACAGGGTGGTGGCACCTGTGAGGGGACGGTGGGGACAGCACACGTCCCCAAGGCTCGCAGTGTCCCCAAGCCTGTCTGTGCCCCCAGTGACACACATGTCCCCTGTTGTCCCCAGGGCCAGAGCACGGAGGAAGGTTTACAGCAGGTGGATTCCTTGGTGGCCCGGTACCGCCATGGCTGCCTCTGGTGGGGACTTCCCTGGCTGCCTGTCCTGCGCCTCTTCCACCCCAGCACCCTCCGGCCACTCCTCAGTGCCTCAGGTAGGACGTGGGACATCAGATGGGTCCCCAGGGCCACCTATGGGTGTCACTGCACCTGGCACAGCGACCTGGCAGTGCCCAGGCAGTGGCCAACAAACCCAGCCCCACTGGTCCCCAGAGGTGTCACCATGGCCAGGCCAAATGCCATCCCATAATGGCCACCAACCTGTCCATGAGGTTCCCCAAGGCCACCCAAAGGTGTCACCATGTCCACCCTCCTGGTTGTCCCCCAACCCTCATCCTTTGGTGGCCATGGGTGCTAGGAGAGGGTCCCCACTCCAGGGCACCTACCTGAGGTTAATGGGTGCAGACAGGGTGGTGCCACCCAGTGTCCCCACCCAGGGGACCTGATGCCACCCCAGTGAATCCCTGCCCACCCCATCCTTGTACCCTGCAGCTTTCGTGGCCCCCAAGGACAAAATTTTCTACGGTTTCCTCAAGCCCTGGCTGGGTGAGTGGGGGGGCTGGGGTGGGAACAGCACCCCAGGGTGCCCTGTTAATGGAGCTGGGTGTCACAGGCCTGGGGACAGCACCCCAGAAGGATCTGGATGTGTCACAGGGGCAGTGGGGGACAGAGACAGCACCCCTGGGTGTCCCCAGATAGATCTGGATGTGTCACAGGGGCAGTGGGGGACAGGGACAGCACCCCTGGGTGTCCCCAGATAGATCTGGGTGTGCCACTGGGGACGGGGTGGTGGGGGACAGGGATATCAGCCCTGGGTGTCCCCAGGATGGATCTGGGTGTGTCACAGGGGCAGTGGGGGACAGGGACAGCACCCCTGGGTGTCCCCAGGATGGATCTGGGTGTGTCACAGGGGCAGTGGGGGACAGGGACAGCACCCCTGGGTGTCCCCAGGATGGATCTGGGTGTGTCACAGGGGCAGTGGGGGACAGGGATATCACCCCTGGGTGTCCCCAGGATGGATCTGGGTGTGTCACTGGGGCAGTGGGGGACAGGGACAGCACCCCTGGGTGTCCCCAGGATGGATCTGGGTGTGTCACAGGGGCAGTGGGGGACAGGGATATCACCCCTGGGTGTCCCCAGGATGGATCTGGGTGTGTCACTGGGGACGGGGTGGTGGGGGACAGGGATATCACCCCTGGGTGTCCCCAGGATGGATCTGGATGTGTCACAGGGGCAGTGGGGGACAGGGACAGCACCCCTGGGTGTCCCCAGGATGGATCTGGGTGTGTCACAGGGGCAGTGGGGGACAGGGACAGCACCCCTGGGTGTCCCCAGGATGGATCTGGGTGTGTCACAGGGGCAGTGGGGGACAGGGATATCAGCCCTGGGTGTCCCCAGGATGGATCTGGATGTGTCACAGGGACAGTGGGGGACAGGGACAGCACCCCTGGGTGTCCCCAGGATGGATCTGGGTGTGTCACAGGGGCGGTGGGGGACAGGGACATCACCCCTGGGTGTCCCCAGGATGGATCTGGGTGTCTCACAGGGGCAGTGGGGGACAGGGACAGCACCCCTGGGTGTCCCCAGGATGGATCTGGGTGTGTCACAGGGGACAGGGACAATCCCCTCTGTTCCCTCGCGGACCCCGGTGTCCCCCCCAGGGGAGGGGCTGCTGCTGAGCGGCGGGGAGCGCTGGGCGCGGCACCGGCGGCTCCTGACTCCCGCCTTCCACGGGGATGTGCTGCGGAATTACCTGGGAATCTTCAACCGGAGCACCCGCGTGCTGCTCGTGAGGGATCCGAGTCCCCAGCTGCACCCCAAATCATGAGTGCTGTACCCCAAACTCTGACCTGCACCCCAAATCATGAGTGCTGCACCCCAAACTCTGACCTGCACCCCAAATCATGAGTGCTGCACCCCAAACTCTGACCTGCACCCCAAATCATGAGTGCTGTACCCCAAACTCTGATCTGCACCCCAAACTCTGACCTGCACCCCAAATCATGAGTGCTGCACCCCAAACTCTGATCTGCACCCCAAACTCTGACCTGCACCCCAAATCATGAGTGCTGCACCCCAAACTCTGACCCGCACCCCAAATCATGAGTGCTGCACCCCAAACTCTGACCTGCACCCCAAATCATGAGTGCTGCACCCCAAACTCTGACCCGCACCCCAAATCATGAGTGCTGCACCCCAAACTCTGACCTGCACCCCAAATCATGAGTGCTTCACCCCAAACTCTGATCTGCACCCCAAATCATGAGTGCTGCACCCCAAATCATGAGTGCTGCACCCCAAACTCTGATCTGCACCCCAAATCATGAGTGCTGCACCCCAAACTCTGATCTGCACCCCAAATCATGAGTGCTGCACCCCAAAACCTGACCTGCACCCCAAATCATGAGTGCTGCACTCCAAACTCTGACCTGCACCCCAAATCATGAGTGCTGCACCCCAAATCATGAGTGCTGCACCCCAAACTCTGACCTGCACCCCAAATCATGAGTGCTGCACCCCAAACTCTGACCTGCACCCCAAATCATGAGTGCTGCACCCCAAACTCTGACCTGCACCCCAAATCATGAGTGCTGCACCCCAAACTCTGACCTGCATCCCAAACTCTGACCCGCACCCCAAATCATGAGTGCTGCACCCCAAACTCTGATCTGCACCCCAAATCATGAGTGCTGCACCCCAAACTCTGATCTGCACCCCAAATCATGAGTGCTGCACCCCAAACTCTGACCTGCCTCCCAAACCTTGAGTCCCACACCCAAAATTCTGTCCTGCACCCACTGCTGCATTCTGAGTCCTGTCCTGCACCCCAAGTCCCGTCCTGTACCCAAATCCTGTCCTGTCCCATACCCCAAACCCCATCCCCACCCCGTCACTCATCACCGCACCCCTGTTCCACACCCCCACCCCAACTCTTCCCCCTCTCCCACCCCTCTTCTGCCCCCCAGTTTCTCCCCTCTCTCTGTTCCCTCCCCACAGGCCAAGTGGGGGGCAGCAGCAGCAGCAGCAGCGGCAGCTGGTGGGGGGCCGGTGGAGTTGGAGGTGCTGCAGCCCCTGAGCCTCCTCACCCTGGACACGCTCCAGAAGTGCATCTTCAGCCATGAGAGCCACTGCCAGGAGTGAGTGTCACCTGTCCCCGCTGGCCATCCTGGTGGCCCTAGTGACGCCACCATGGTCCCTGTTGGCCGTTCTGGTGGCCACAGTGTCCCCCCAGTGTCCCCGGTTTCCGCAGGCGGCCCAGCGAGTACATCCAGGCCATCCTGGAGCTGAGCTCGTTGGTGGTCCGGCGCCAGTTCCGGCCACTTCTCCACCCGTGGTGGCTCTACAGGCTCTCCTCTGATGGTCGGCGCTTCGCCCGTGCCTGTGCCACCGTCCACAACTTCACTGCTGATGTGGTGCAGCGCCGGCGCCGCGCACTCACCTGCCTGGGCCACCAGGCCCGGCTGGATGGCCACCAGGGACACAGAATGGACTTCATCGACCTCCTGCTGCTCAGCAAGGTGGGGCTGGGGTGGTGGCCATGGGGACATGGAAGTGGTCAAAGGGTGGTCGTGGCCATGGGGAGATGATGGTGACTATCGGGTGGTGGCCATAAGAGGATGGTGGTGGCCATGAGAACATGGAAGTGGTCAAAGGGTGGTTGTGGCCATGGGGAGATGATGGTGACCATACGGTGGTGGCCATAAGAGGATGGTGGTCAATGGGATGGTGGTGGCCACGGGGACATGGAAGTGGTCAAAGGGTGGTTGTGGCCATGGGGAGATTATGGTGACCATAGGGTGCTGGCCATAAGAGGATGGTGGTCAAGGGGATGGTGGTGGCCATGGGGACATGGAAGTGGTCAAAGGGTGGTTGTGGCCATGGGGAGATGATGCTGACTATAGGGTGGTGGCCATGGAAGGATGGTGGTCAAGGGGATGGTGGTGGCCATGGGAACATGGAAGTGGTCAAAGGGTGGTCGTGGCCATGGGGAAATGATGGTGACCATAGGGTGGTGGCCATGGAAGGATGGTGGTCAAGGGGATGGTGGTGGCCATGGGGACATGGAAGTGGTCAAAGGGTGGTTGTGGCCATGGGGAGATGATGGTGACCATAGGGTGGTGGCCATGGAAGGATGGTGGTCAAGGCGGTGGTGGTGGCCATGGGAACATGGAAGTAGTCAAAGGATGGTTGTGGCCACGGGGAGATGATGGTGACCATAGGGTGGTGGCCATAAGAGGATGGTGGTCAACGGGATGGTGGTGGCCATGGGAACATGGAAGTTGTCAAAGGGTGGTCGTGGCCATGGGGAGATGATGGTGACCATAGGGTGGTGGCCATGGAAGGATGGTGGTCAAGGGGATGGTGGTGGCCATGGGAACATGGAAGTGGTCAAAGGGTGGTTGTGGCCATGGGGAGATGATGGTGACCATAGGGTGGTGGCCATAAGAGGATGGTGGTCAAGGGGATGGTGGTGGCCATGGGGAGATGGAAGTGGTCAAAAGGTGGTTGTAGCCATGGGGACATGGAAGTGGTCAAAGGGTGGTCGTGGCCATGGGGAGATGATGGTGGCCATGGAAGGATGGTGGTCAAGGGGATGGTGGTGGCCATGGGAACATGGAAGTAGTCAAAGGGTGGTTGTGGCCATGGGGAGATGATGGTGACCATAGGGTGGTGGCCATGGAAGGATGGTGGTCAAGGGGATGGTGGTGGCCATGGGAACATGGAAGTGGTCAAAGGGTGGTTGTGGCCATGGGGAGATGATGGTGACCATAGGGTGGTGGCCATGGAAGGATGGTGGTCAAGGGGATGGTGGTGGCCATGGAAGGGTTGGCCATAGAGGCCAGTAGGATGCTGGTGGCCACTGGGGACTGGGCATAGACTGGTGACCACAGGGGAACAGTGGTGGTCATGGGCAGCATTGACCATAGAGATGGTGGCCAGTTGGATGGTGGTGCCTGTAGGGTGGTGGCCATGGATGGGATCTGGCTGTAGACTGGTGGCCCCAGGTGGCCCATGGCTCATCTCGCCCCTGCAGGATGAGAATGGCCACACTCTGTCGGATGAGGACATCGCGGCTGAGGCTGAAACCTTCATGTTTGAGGGTCAGCATGAGTTCCCAGGCACCACTGGGCAGGAGCCACTCCACTGTCCCCTCATTCACCCAATGTCCCCATAGGCCACGACACCACGGCCAGTGGCCTGGCATGGCTCTTCTACAACCTGGCCGGCCACCCTGAGCACCAGGAGCGATGCCGCCAGGAGGTCCAGGAGCTCCTGGCTGGCCGGGACACTGCGGACATCGAATGGTGAGATGCCCCCAGGGCCACCCCCGGTCACGTGGCTTGGGGACACGGTGCCACCCCCACTTGTCCCCAGGGAGGACCTGTCCCAGCTGCCCTTCACCACCATGTGCATCAAGGAGAGCTTGCGGCTGCACCCTCCTGTCACTGCTGTGTCCCGGCGCTGCACCGAGGACATCCCCCTGCGTGATGGCCGTGTCATCCCCAAGGGTATGGCATGGCCAGGGTGTCCCCAGTGCCACCACCCACCTCATCTGCTGTCCCTCACGTGGCCATTCCCATCCCACCAGGGGTCATCTGCCTGATGAGCATCTATGGGACCCACCACAACCCAGACCTCTGGCCCGAGCCTGAGGTAGGGCCACCCTATGAGGTGTCACCATGGTGACATGGTGTCACCATGGTGGTGACAGCTGTGTCCCCTCGGCGTGACTGTGTCGATGTCACCCCAGGTGTTCAACCCTCTGAGGTTCAGCCCGGAGAACAGCAAGGGACGGTCCCCGTCGTCCTTCATCCCCTTCTCTGCTGGCCCCAGGTATGTGGTGGAGCAGGGACAGGAGTGTCCCCAGGTGCCACCCCTGTCCCTGGCAGGGTTCACCGTGGGGTGACAGTGACAGTGGGGATGTGGTGGCAGGAACTGCATCGGGCAGAGCTTTGCCATGGCTGAGATGAAGGTGGTAGTGGCACTGACACTGTCCCGGTTCGTGCTGCGGAGGGACACGGCGAGGCCACCCCCACGCCGCAAGCCTGAGCTGATCCTGCGTGCTGAGGACGGGCTCTGGCTGCTGCTGGAGCCACTGCTGGCAGTGGCCTGAGGGACACGGGTCACCAGGATGTGGGGACATCCTGCGAGGCGGGTGTCATGGCCAGGGGAGGAGAAGGAAATAAACGGTAGCGTGAAGGGGTGGTGGGGATGTGCTGTCCTTGGTTGTGGCTATTGGACACAAAATGAGCACACAGAAGCTTGGTAAGTTCAAAAGACAAAAAGACCCAGTTTTATTCAAACATCTGGTATTTTTAGAATTCCAAAGGTGGCCGTGGATTGGAGGATGGAAGTACCACCTCTCCAACCACACTGGTCCAAAGACCAATCAATCATTTCTCTCCACCCACAGGGAAATATGTAAACTATTCTATTTATACATGAAATAGCGTGGGAACTCTGACTCTCAAATATGTAACCATTATCAGAAGGCTAAAGAAGTTTTATGAGAACTTTAAAACTTTCAAAAGAGCTATAAAAGAAAACTTAACACTTGTAAAAATCAGGGCAACACTTGGTCATGGGACACCACGTGGCATGGGCATGTCAACCCATGGACTTGTCCCCTAAGCCACTTGTCACCATCCACGGCCACGTCCCCCATGTCCTCATCCATGGCCATATACCCCCATGTCACCATCTAAACCTGTGACCCCCTCCATGCCCAATATCACCATCCACAGCCATGTCCACACCCATGTCCTTGTCCATGTCCCCATCCCCATAACCACCATGTCCCCACCCATGTCCCACAGTGTCACCATGCATGTCTTAGTTGAATGTCTATATTTTTACTCCAATGTTTGGGTGAAGGGATGAAGAAAAATGGAAGAAAATCAAAGCCAAAATAAAAGGATATATGTGTCCATGCTGGCCACGTATCCATGCCCTTGGGTGAGTAGAAAGGATCTTTTGTAGAGGAATTTCCACTCCATTGTCTCCAAAATCTTGATATTTCATCCCAGTCCATCACCATTTGGCTGTGGAAGATGTCCATGGGCCACAAACAATTAGAATAATGGATTAATTTAAGTTGGAAAAGACATCCAACACCATCCAGTATTCTATGATGCCACCTGAAGAAATGACTGGATGCAAAAGGTAAGATCTTTTGGGGTTGAAAGTAAAAAACTGTGCTGTCCCCAATGAATTCCTGATGTCAGTTTGCATCCCAATAGTTTTTTCCCCTGCTGGGTCAAAGTGTCCAAGGGGAGACAGGAAGATGTGGAGACCACCAGCCAGTGGATCACCAAGTCTCTGCCCAACGAGGGCCACTGTGCATCATCCCATGGGGGTCCTCCAATGGGGAATGGAGTTGGAGCAGCGCCCAAAGCTCCTCCTGCACACAGAGCACTTGTAGGGCTTCCCTTACTGCTGCCTCCCTTGCTGTTGGATCAATATGAAGTTCTGGGATACGCTCTTCCCACTCTTGGGACATTGTCAGGGGCTCTTCCCAGTGAGTGGAGAGTGGAGTCTTTCTTAAAGCCCTTCCCACAGCTGGGGCAGTGGAAGGGCCTCTATTCTGTGTGAATCTGCTGATGCGAGAAGAGACGGTACCTGCTCTGAAACCTCTCCCCACACTGAGTACACTCATAGGGCCTATCCGCAGTGTGGGTCCTCTGGTGGGCAATCAGGCTGGATTTATGGCTGAAGCTTTTCCAACATTCTGAGCACTTGTAGGGCCTCTCCCCCGTGTGGATCCTCTGGTGGGCACTCAGGCTGGATCTCTGGCTGAAGCTTTTCCCACACTCCCCGCACTCGTAGGGCCTCTCCCCAGTGTGGACCCTCTGGTGGTCAATAAGGTAGGCATTCTGGCTGAAGCTCTTCCCACATTCCCCACACTTGTAGGGCCGCTCCCCAGTGTGGATCCTCTGGTGGACAATCAGGCAAGAGCTCCGGCTGAAGCTCTTCCCACATTCTGAGCACATGTAGGGGCTTTCCCCAGTGTGCATTGCCTGGTGGATGATCAGGGGAGTGCTGACACGGAAGCCCTTCCCACACTCCCCACACACGTAGGGTTTCATCCCAGTGTGGATCATCTGGTGGCGGTTCAGGCAGAAGCTCCTCCTGAAGCTCTTCCCACACTCCCCACACTCATAGGGCCGTTCATCGGTGTGAATCCTCTGGTGGACGATCAGCTGGGAGCTGGTGCAGAAGCTCATTCCACATTCCCCACACTCGTAGGGCCTCTCCCCGGTGTGGGTCCTCTGGTGGACGATCAGGTGGGAACTGATGCGGAACCTCCTCCCACATTCCCCGCACTCGTAGGGCTGTTCCCCGGTGTGGATCCTCCTGTGCTCTAACAGGCGGCAGATGATGCGGAACCTCCTCCCACATTCCTCACACTCGTAGGGCCGTTCCCCAGTGTGGATCTTCTGGTGGCAGACCAGGACGGAGCGCTTGAGGAAACTCTTCCCACAGTCCAAGCACTTGTGGGGCTTTTTTGTGCCATCATCAAGCTTCTCATGGACCACCACCTCAGGGCCCTGGCCAGATCTCCGGCCGCCTTCCTTGCACAGGGTGGGTCTTTCCTGCTCCGAGCACCCTGGGCTGGGTTTGCAGTCCCTCCTCCTGTGGGATCTCCGGGGCTTTTCCTCCCCTTTGGATTCCTGCACCAAGGAGCCACTCAAAAGGGCCTCTGCCACAAGGTTTTTTCGTGGGGATTTGTTCTTCCTGGTCTGCATCCTCAACTCCTTGTCTGGGGGAGGAAGAACAAGAAGAGGATGGGATTTGCCTCCCTGCACGAGGGAAAGGGAAGGAGATCCCCCCCACTGCATCCCCAGCAGGAGAGTATCGGCAGCAGGGCTGTCCTGCAGCCGGGGCCCTGCTGGGCTGGGAGATGGGGCAGGAGAGAGGGGGAAAGGGGCAATGACTTCCTCCTCACCTGCATTGGTGTCCCGGGATATCTTCCGCTTCATCACAGCCTCCTCCTCTATCCAGATATGGCTTGGGAATGGGAAATCCTGCTTTGGGGGAAAAACAGGAACTGAGTGCATTGTCTTTGAAGGTCCTACTGGCCAAGCCCATCCCTAGAAATCACCCGGATGTCTGGTGTCCAGGAAAACCTCCAAAAATTGAGGAATCCAAAAAAGCCTCTCCCAGGGGTTCCCTGTTTCCAGTGTCCTTACTTTGGGCTTATGGGGGTCCCAATTTTCAGGGCTGCTGGGGGTTCTGTGGGTCCCGGGCAGCCCGCCTGTCCCGGGTCCTGCTCAGCCATGCTGAGGGGGTTTTGGGCTGAGGGGGTCTGGGAGTCCCAGGGCTCATCCTCCCCTGATTCCATCGCGGCCCCCAGCTGTCCCAGGGCCCCCTTCTCCAGCATCCCCCCACTCCGCGCACTCACGCCTTCCCCCGCTCCCTGATGTGAAAGACAATAGCATAGTTTTTGTTCATCAGGAAAAGTCCCAGGGATTGTGTAAGTCACAGGAAACAGTGGGGCAGGAGGGCAGGATGTACTGCTATTAGTAGATAGTGGAATTGAGAGATCTTTGAAAGCTGCGTTACCATATTTGGAGAAGTTATTGCAGGGTTAACGCTACCTCGGAGGAAGAAGAATAGGAGCTTTCCTCAAACGACCACTGGACAGCAGAAAAAAGACCCCTAGCAACACGCCGCGCAGATGCAGAGCACGTCGAGAATATCACAAAGTCCGGAACTGAAGGGGTATAAGAACTGAAAGACCGGGAGGTGCGGGGCGAGCCGTTGGTGGGAGCAGAGGCTCCCCGGCCGCCCAGCGCTGCATTTGCCCGTACTGCTTGCTTGCTAAATTAATAAAATTCTCTTTATAAAGTGACACAAATTGGTCCCGTATCATAATTTATAACAGGACATGCCTCCGGAATCGGCGGGGTCCAAACCTCAGCAAACAAACCCCAACAAACCCCCCAAAACAATCCCCCCCGCAGCCGCCGGCACAGCCTCGGGCCGAGCCGCCCCTCCCCGCTCACCTGCGGCACGCCGGGCAATGCGATGCTGCCGGGGCCAGCCGAGCTGCGGCCTCAGCGGGCTCGCCGTGCCACCGCAATGCTCCTTCCTCCCACTGCTCCCGCTCCTGCTGCTCCTCTGCCCGCTCCTCCCGTTCCTGCTCCTCCCCTTCCTCTCTGCCGCTGCCCTTCCTCCCGCTCCTCCTCCTCCGCTCCCGCCCCGGACCCCCTTTCGCTGCCCCTCTGCCCCACGGCCGCAGCACAGCGGCTCTCGGGCAGGGCGAGAAACCCCCCGGAGCCCCCGGCCATGGGCAGGGGGCTCGGGGGCCCCCAGTGCAGACCCGCCCGTGCCGTGCCCCTCCCGCCCAGCCAAAATTCCGCTCCCGGGGCTCGCTGGATGCGAGCGGGCGGCGCAGGTGAGATGGAAGCGGGGAGCGCTGGGCGCTGCGGCTCTGCCCGGGAGCTGCGGAGTCACCGCGGAGCAGCGTGAGATACATATTGTAGTATTGGCTTCTCGCGAATATTAAAAAGGTTTCTATATTGGTGGTGTTAAAGTAACTCTGTTATAAAAATATAGTTTTTATTTCTGTTGTTAATTAAGCTTATTGAAAAAGCTGATATAGTGTGCTTGTGTTGCAATGCCGGCTTGGATGGGATCACATCCAAGGAACACGGGATGAGCGCACCTCCTACAGATATGCCAACTATCAGCACTCACCCTCTGAAGACAATGTGGACCAAGGTCCAAACCTGAAGGTTATGATAAAAATGGACTAAATCCATAACTCGGGAATTCACTTGCCCTAAAAAGGCAGACCTGCAGAGGACATATGCTAAACAGTTCTTGGAATATGGAAACTAGATTTGGGAAAAGTTTACTTAAAATAGAAGTTTAATAAAGTTTACTTTAAGTCCTTATAATAATTATTATTATAATAATTTTATAAGCTGTACTTATGATTATGATATAATTATACTTATAATATGGCATAATTGTTTATGAATATGGAACAGGCTGATGCACTGGAAATGGTATCTCAAGGATGTTTTCAAAATAGCAGGGGTGCTCTTGGCGAAGTGTGAAGACACAGCAGGGGTATAATATCTTTGCTTGATGGTCGTTGTCTCCCATTGTCCAATATTAAATTTTTACATTTTCACAGGAGACTGGACGAGTGTTTCACAGGAAATTGGTCAGTCCATCCTCTGGCAGGAATTGGGAAAGGCGCTGAGCTCTGCGGGTCTCCCCGGCAGCTGCCGAGTCTGAGCCTGAGATCTTTCCTAATTCTTTCTGTCCCTGAGACCTCTTTCCTATTTCTCTACCTCACATTTCTTGGTCAATACTATCATCAATAAATACTGGTTCAGTAAAATCCGTGGGTTCTTTTGCTATGGTGTCATTTGCACCTTCCCTGGGGTAGAGGTGTCTCTCCCTCCTGGGACTGCAGCCCATGGCCAGGGTCCCTACATATTCATACTTAGGGTACACGGAATATTACTTTAGTTCTTTTGAGAGGTTTTGATCCTTAGGAGGACACTGCTTTTAATCTTCGATTATGTGGAAAGCTTCTAAGATTTTGGGATGAATTGGAATCTAGGAGATTTTGGGGTCTCCCCATCAGGGGAACTGCAGGAGGGGCTTCCACACCTTTTCCCGCAGTTGTTCTGGGATTCTCTCAGGGATTCACTTTCCTTTTCTTCTTCCCACAGCTTTGAGCTAGGAATGGGCTGGAAAATATCCAGCAAAGCCACCTCTGCTGTCTGCTCTGGTAGCCTACCACACAGCTTCTGGACCTTGTCACCTGCCCCTGCACAGCTCCCTTGGGAAGCAGGGCAGAAGCAGCCCCTGGGAGCCTTGGGAATTCCCTTCTTGGATCCCTGGCACACACCCAAATGATCTGGAATTTCACTTTCCATGGCACGGCACTCCACGTCCCTCCCAAGAACCCCCGAGTGGCTCAAACCCACCATCCTCCCCATTCCCTGGGAGTTCACCCCATGTTCCCCCCATGTCCATGTACCCCACATGTCCCCACCCATGTCCGTGTCCCCTGACAGGATACAATCTTTAACCCACAGGGGATCACAGGGGAGGAGAACACCTGAAACCCATCCATGGGCCTCCTGCAAGGATACAAAATGAACACGGAAGTTTCCAGAGAAAGGGGCCGGCATGGCAAGGTGATGACACTCAGTGGGAGCAGGGTCAGGGAACTAAAGGGCAGGTCTTTGGGGAGAGGGACACCTTGGGCAAAACCACCAAGACAGGAGAGAAAGGAACAGCCCATAGGCAATAAAATATGCTATAACAATATAAAATAGGGCAGGTTATAAAAGTGACTACTAGGACCGGATGACAATCAAAAAAACCCACCGCAACACCCACCTATACCCGTATCACCCATGTCTCCTTCCATGTCCTTGGCTCCCCAGGTCACTGTCCATGGCCATGTCCCCTTCTGCTCCTCTTGCATCCAGGTGCCCAAACAGAGCCAGGAAGATGTGGAGACCACCAGCCAGTGGATCACCAGCACCATGGATCACCAAGTCTCTGCCCAACGAGGGCCACTGTGCATCATCCCATGGAGGTCCTCCAATGGGGAATGGAGTTGGAGCAGCGCCCAAAGCTCCTCCCGCACACAGAGCACTTGTAGGGCTTCCCTTACTGCTGCCTCCCTTGCTGTTGGGTGAATGTAGAGGTCTAGGATACCCTCTTCCCACTCTTGGGACACTGTTAGGGGCTCTCCCCAGTGTGTACCCACTGATGGGTGTCAAGAGTGGGTTTTTTCTTAAAGGCCTTCCCACACTCAGCGCAGTGGAAGGGCCTCTATTCTGTGTGAATCTGCTGATGCTTGAGGAGACGGTATCTGCTCTGAAACTTCTCCCCACACTCAGAACACTCATAGTGCCTCTCCCCAGTGTGGGTGGTCTGGTGGGCACGCAGGCCGCATCTCTGCCTGAAGCTTTTCCCACATTCCCTGCACGCGTAGGGTCTCTCTCCGGTGTGGATCCTCTGGTGATCAATCAAGGTGGTGCTCTGGCTGAAGCTTTTCCCACATTCTCCACACTCGTAGGGCCTCTCCCCAGTATGGATCCTCTGGTGCACAATCAGGGTGGCGCTCTGCCTGAAGCTTTTCCCACATTCTCCACACTTGAAGGGCCGTTCCCCGGTGTGGGTCCTCTGGTGGACCATCAGCATGGAGTTCTCCATGAAGCTCTTCCCACATTCTGAGCACATGTAGGGGGAATCCCCAGTGTGCATTGCCTGGTGCATGATCAGGTCAGTGCTGTCACAGAAGCCCTTCCCACACTCCCCACACACAAAGGGTCGTATCCCCGTGTGGATCATCTGGTGGCGGTTCAGGTGGGAGCTGATCCTGAAGCTCTTCCCACATTCCTCACACTCATAGGGCCGCTCCCCAGTGTGGATCCTCTGGTGGGCAATCAGGTTGCATCTCTGGCTGAAGCTTTTCTCACATTCCCTGCACTTGTAGGGTGTCTCTCCGGTGTGGATCCTCTGGTGAACAATCAGGTGGGTTCTCTGGCTGAAGCTTTTCCCACATTCTTCACACTCGTAGGGCCTCTCCCCAGTATGGATCCTCTGGTGGGCAATAAGGTTGGGGCTCTGCCTGAAGCTCTTCCCACATTCCCCACACTTGTAGGGCCGTTCACCGGTGTGGATCCTCTGGTGGACCATCAGCATGAAGTTCTCCGTGAAGCTCTTCCCACATTCTGAGCACATGTAGGGGGAATCCCCAGTGTGCATTGCCTGGTGCATGATCAGGTCAGTGCTGTCACGAAAGCCCTTCCCACACTCCCCACACACATAGGGACGTATCCCCGTGTGGATCATCTGGTGGCGGTTCAGGTGGGAGCTCCTCCTGAAGCTCTTCCCACACTCCCCACACTCATAGGGCCGTTCATCGGTGTGAATCCTCTGGTGGACGATCAGCTGGGAGCTGATGCAGAACCTCATTCCACATTCCCCACACTTGTAGGGCCTTTCCCCGGTGTGGGTCCTCTGGTGGACGATCAGCTGGGAGCTGGTGCGGAACCTCCTCCCACATTCCCCACACTCGTAGGGCTGTTCCCCGGTGTGGATCCTCCTGTGCTCTAACAGGCGGCAGATGATGCGGAACCTCCTCCCACATTCCTCACACTCGTAGGGCCGTTCCCCGGTGTGGATCTTCTGGTGGCAGACCAGGACGGAGCGCTTGAGGAAACTCTTCCCACAGTCCAAGCACTTGTGGGGCTTTGTGCCATCATCAAGCTTCTCATGGACCACCACCTCAGAGCCCTGGCCAGATCTCCGGCCGCCTTCCTGGCACAGGGTGGGTCTTTCCTGCTCTGAGCACCCTGGGCTGGTTTTGCAGTCCCTCCTCCTGCGGGATCTCCGGGGCTTTTCCTCCCGTTTGGATTCCTGCGCCAAGGAGCCACTCAAAAGGGCCTCTGCCACAAGGTTTTTTCGTGGGGATTTGTTCTTCCTGGTCTGCATCCTCAACTCCTTGTCTGGGGGAGGAAGGACAAGAAGAGGATGGGATTTGCCTCCCTGCACGAGATCCCCCCAGTGCATCCCCAACAGGAGAGCATCGGCAGCAGGGCTGTCCTGCAGCCAGGGGCTCTGCTGGGCTGGGAGATGGGGCAGGAGAGAGGGGGAAAGGGGCACTGACTTCCTCCTCACCTGCCTGGGGGTCCCGGGGCGATTTTCGCTTCATCACAGTCTCCTCCTTTCTCTAGATAAGGCTTGGGAACGGGAAATCCTGCTTTGGGGGAAAAACAGGAACTGAGTGCATTGTCTTTGAAGGTCCTACTGGCCAAGCCCATCCCTAGAAGTCACCCGGATGTCTGGTGTCCAGGAAAACCTCCAAAAACCAAGGAGGAACCCAAAAAGCCTCTCCCAGGGGTTCCCTGTTTCCAGTGTCCTTACTTTGGGCTTATGGGGTCCCAATTTTCAGAGCTGCTGGGGGTTCTGTGGGTCCTGGGCAGCCCGCCTGTCCCGGGTCCTGCTCAGCCATGCTGAGGGGGTTTTGGGCTGAGGGGGTCTGGGAGTCCCAGGGCTCATCCTCCCCTGATTCCATCGCGGCCCCCAGCTGTCCCAGGACCCCCTTCTCCAGCATCCCCCCACTCCACGCACTCACGCCTTCCCCCGCTCCCCGATGTGAAAGACAATAGCATAGTTTTTGTTCATCAGGAAAAGTCCCAGGGATTGTGTAAGTCACAGGAAACAGTGGGGCAGGAGGGCAGGATGTACTGCTATTAGTAGATAGTGGAATTGAGAGATCTTTGAAAGCTGCGTTACCATATTTGGAGAAGTTATTGCAGGGTTAACGCTACCTCGGAGGAAGAAGAATAGGAGCTTTCCTCAAACGACCACCAGACAGCAGAAAAAAGACCCCTAGCAACACGCCGCGCAGATGCAGAGCACGTCGAGAATATCACAAAGTCCGGAACTGAAGGGGTATAAGAACTGAAAGACCGGGAGGTGCGGGGCGAGCCGTTGGTGGGAGCAGAGGCTCCCCGGCCGCCCAGCGCTGCATTTGCCCGTACTGCTTGCTTGCTAAATTAATAAAATTCTCTTTATAAAGTGACACAAATTGGTCCCGTGTCATAATTTATAACAGGACATGACTCCGGAATCGGCGGGGTCCAAACCTCACCAAACAAACCCCAACAAACCCCCCAAAACAATCCCCCCCGCAGCCGCCGGCACAGCCTCGGGCCGAGCCGCCCCTCCCCGCTCACCTGCGGCACGCCGGGCAATGCGATGCTGCCGGGGCCAGCCGAGCTGCGGCCTCAGCGGGCTCGCCGTGCCACCGCAATGCTCCTTCCTCCCACTGCTCCCGCTCCTGCTGCTCCTCTGCCCGCTCCTCCCGTTCCTGCTCCTCCCCTTCCTCTCTGCCGCTGCCCTTCCTCCCGCTCCTCCTCCTCCGCTCCCGCCCCGGACCCCCTTTCGCTGCCCCTCTGCCCCACGGCCGCAGCAGCAGCGGCTCTCGGGCAGGGCGAGAAACCCCCCGGAGCCCCCGGCCATGGGCAGGGGGCTCGGGGGCCCCCAGTGCAGACCCGTCCGTGCCGTGCCCCTCCCGCCCAGCCAAAATTCCGCTCCCGGGGCTCGCTGGATGCGAGCGGGCGGCGCAGGTGAGATGGAAGCGGGGAGCGCTGGGCGCTGCGGCTCTGCCCGGGAACTGCGGAGTCACCGCGGGGCAGCCTTAGAGATACATATTGTAATATTGGCTTCTCGCGAGTAGTAGAAGGGATTCGGTATGGCTGGTGTTAAAGTAACTCTGTTATAAAAATATAGTTTTTATTTCTGTTGTTAATTAGGCTTAGTGAAATAGCTGATATAGTGTGCTTGTGTTGCAATGCCGGCTTGGATGGGATCACATCCAAGGAACACGGGATGAGCGCACCTCCTACAGATATGCCAACTATCAGCACTCACCCTCTGAAGACAATGTGGACCAAAGTCCAAACTTAGAGGTTATTATAAAAATGGACTAAAACCATAACCCAGGAATTCGCTTGCCCTAAAAAGGCAGAACTGCAGAGGAGATATGCTAAACAGTTCTTGGAATATGGAAACTAGATTTGGGAAAAGTTTACTTAAAATAGAAGTTTAATAAAGTTTACTTTAAGTCCTTATAATAATAATTTTTATAATAATTTTATAAACTTTACTTATGATTATGATATAATTATACTTATAATACGGCATAATTGTTTATGAATATGGAACAGGCTGATGCATTGGAAATGGTATCTCAAGGATGTTTTCAAAATAGCAGGGGTGCTCTTGGCGAAGTGTGAAGACACAACCGGGTCTATAACATCTTTGCTGGATGGTTGTTGTCTCCTATTGTCCATTATTAAACTTAAATTTTCAAAGGAGACTGGATGAGTGTTTCACAGGAAATTGGGCAGTGCGTCCTCTGGCAGGAATTGGGAAAGGCGCTGCGCTCTGCGGGTTTCCCTGGCAGCTGCCGAGTCCAAGCCAGAGATCTTTCCTAATTCTTTATGTCCCTGAGACCTCTTTCCTATTTCTCTACCTCACATTTCTTGGTCAATACTATCATCAATAAATACTGGTTCAGTAAAATCCGTGGGTTCTTTTGCTATGGTGTCATTTGCACCTTCCCTGGGGTAGAGGTGTCTCTCCCTCCTGGGACTGCAGCCCATGGCCAGGGTCCCTACATATTCATACTTAGGGTACACGGAATATTACTTTGCTTCTTTTGAGAAGATTTGATCCTTAGGAGGACACTGCTTTTAATCTTCAATTATGTGGAAAGTTTCTAAGATTTTGGGATGAATTGGAATCTAGGAGATTTTGGGGTCTCCCCATCAGGGGAACTGCAGGAGGGGCTTCCACACCTTTTCCCCGCAGTCATTCTGGGATTCTCTCAGGGACTCACTTTCCTTTTCTTCTTCCCACAGCTTTGAACTGGGAATGGGCTGGAAAATGTCCAGCAAAGCCACCTCTGCTGTCTGCTCTGGTAGCCTACCACACAGCTTCTGGACCTTGTCACCTGCCCCTGCACAGCTCCCTTGGGAAGCAGGGCAGAAGCAGCCCCTTGGAGCCTTACAATCTTTAACCCAAGAGGGATCACAGGGGAGGAGAACACCTGAAACCCATCCATGGGCCTCCTCCAAGGATACAAAATGGAGAGGGAAGTTTCCAGAGAAAGGGGCCGGCATGGCAAGGGGGTCACACTCAGTGGGAGCAGGGTCAGGGAACTAAAGGGCAGGTCTTGGGGAGAGGGACACCTAGGGCAAAACCACCAACACAGGAAGAGAAAGGAACAGCCCATAGGCAATAAAATATGCTATAACAATACAAAATAGGAGAGGTTATAAAAGTGACTACTAGGACCGGATGACAATCAAAAAAACCCACCGCAACACCCACCCATGCCCGTATCACCCATGTCTCCTTCCATGTCCTTGGCTCCCCATGTCACTGTCCATGGCCCTTCAGCTTCTCTTGCATCCAGGTGCCCAAACAGAGCCAGGAAGATGTGGAGACCACCAGCCAGTGGATCACCAGCACCATGGATACCCAAGTCTCTGCCCAACGAGGGCCACTGTGCATCATCCCATGGGGGTCCTCCAATGGGGAATGGAGTTGGAGCAGCGCCCAAAGCTCCTCCTGCACACAGAGCACTTGAAGGGCTTCCCTTACTGCTGCCTCCCTTGCTGTTGGGTGAATGTAGAGGTCTAGGATACCCTCTTCCCACTCTTGGGACACTGTTAGGGGCTCTCCCCAGTGTGGATCCAGTGATGGGTGTCAAGAGTGGGTTTTTTCTTAAAGGCCGTCCCACACTCAGCGCAGTGGAAGGGCCTCTATTCTGTGTGAATCTGCTGATGCTTGAGGAGACGGTATCTGCTCTGAAACTTCTCCCCACACTCAGAACACTCATAGAGCTTCTCCCCAGTGTGGGTGGTCTGGTGGGCACGCAGGCCGCATCTCTGCCTGAAGCTTTTCCCACATTCCCTGCACTTGTAGGGTCTCTCTCCAGTGTGGATCCTCTGGTGATCAATCAGGGTGGTGCTCTGGCTGAAGCTTTTCCCACATTCTCCACACTCGTAGGGCCTCTCCCCAGTATGGATCCTCTGGTGCACAATCAGGGTGGCGCTCTGCCTGAAGCTTTTCCCACATTCTCCACACTTGAAGGGCCGTTCCCCGGTGTGGGTCCTCTGGTGGACCATCAGCATGGAGTTCTCCATGAAGCTCTTCCCACATTCTGAGCACTTGTAGGGGGAATCCCCAGTGTGCATTGCCTGGTGCATGATCAGGTCAGTGCTGACACGAAAGCCCTTCCCACACTCCCCACACACAAAGGGTCGTATCCCCGTGTGGATCATCTGGTGGCGGTTCAGGTGGGAGCTGATCCTGAAGCTCTCCCCACATTCCTCACACTCATAGGGCCGCTCCCCAGTGTGGATCCTCTGGTGGGCAATCAGGTTGCATCTCTGGCTGAAGCTTTTCTCACATTCCCTGCACTTGTAGGGTCTCTCTCTGGTGTGGATCCTCTGGTGAACAATCAGGTGGGTTCTCTGGCTGAAGCTTTTCCCACATTCTTCACACTCGTAGGGCCTCTCCCCAGTATGGATCCTCTGGTGGGCAATAAGGTTGGGGCTCTGCCTGAAGCTTTTCCCACATTCCCCACACTTGTAGGGCCGTTCACCGGTGTGGATCCTCTGGTGGACCATCAGCATGAAGTTCTCCGTGAAGCTCTTCCCACATTCTGAGCACTTGTAGGGGGAATCCCCAGTGTGCATTGCCTGGTGCATGATCAGGTCAGTGCTGTCACGAAAGCCCTTCCCACACTCCCCACACACAAAGGGTCGTATCCCCGTGTGGATCATCTGGTGGCGGTTCAGGTGGGAGCTCCTCCTGAAGCTCTTCCCACACTCCCCACACTCATAGGGCCGTTCATCGGTGTGAATCCTCTGGTGGACGATCAGCTGGGAGCTGATGCAGAACCTCATTCCACATTCCCCACACTTGTAGGGCCTTTCCCCGGTGTGGGTCCTCTGGTGGACGATCACCTGGGAGCTGGTGCGGAACCTCCTCCCACATTCCCCACACTCGTAGGGCTGTTCCCCGGTGTGGATCCTCCTGTGCTCTAACAGGCGGCAGATGATGCGGAACCTCCTCCCACATTCCTCACACTTGTAGGGCCGTTCCCCAGTGTGGATCTTCTGGTGGCAGACCAGGACAGAGCGCTTGAGGAAACTCTTCCCACAGTCCAAGCACTTGTGGGGCTTTGTGCCATCATCAAGCTTCTCATGGACCACCACCTCAGAGCCCTGGCCAGATCTCCGGCCGCCTTCCTTGCACAGGGTGGGTCTTTCCTGCTCCGAGCACCCTGGGCTGGGTTTGCAGTCCCTCCTCCTGTGGGATCTCCGGGGCTGTTCCTCCCCTTTGGATTCCTGCACCAAGGAGCCACTCAAAAGGGCCTCTGCCACAAGGTTTTTTCGTGGGGATTTGTTCTTCCTGGTCTGCATCCTCAACTCCTTGTCTGGGAAAGGAAGGACAAAAAATGGATGGGATTTGCCTCCCTGCACGAGGGAAGGGGAAGGAGATCCCCCCAGTGCATCCCCAGCACGAGAGCATCGGCAGCAGGGCTGTCCTGCAGCCAGGGGCCGTGCTGGGCTGGGAGATGGGGCAGGAGAGAGGGGGAAAGGGGCACTGACTTTCTCCTCACCTGCCTGGGGGTCCCGGGGCGATTTTCGCTTCATCACAGCCTCCTCCTTTCTCTAGATAAGGCTTGGGAACGGGAAATCCTGCTTTGGGGGAAAAACAGGAACTGAGTGCATTGTCTTTGAAGGTTCTACTGGCAGAGTCCATCCCTAGAAGTCACTGAGTGTCTGGTAGCCAGAAAATACTCCAAAAGCCAACGAGGAATCCAAAAAAGCCTCTCCCAGGGGTTCCCTGTTTCCAGTGTCCTTACTTTGGGCTTATGGGGTCCCAATTCTCAGAGCTGCTGGGGGTTCTCTGGGTCCTGGGCAGCCCGCCTGTCCCGGGTCCTGCTCAGCCATGCTGAGGGGGTTTTGGGCTGAGGGGGTCTGGGAGTCCCAGGGCTCATCCTCCCCTGATTCCATCGCGGCCCCCAGCTGTCCCAGGACCCCCTTCTCCAGCATCCCCCCACTCCACGCACTTGGGACGTGCCTCCGGAATCGGCGGGGACCAAACCTCACCAAACAAACCCCAAGAAACCCCCCAAAACAATCCCCCCCGCAGCTGCCGGCACAGCCTCGGGCCGAGCCGCCCCTCCCCGCTCACCTGCGGCACGCCGGGCAATGCGATGCTGCCGGGGCCAGCCGAGCTGCGGCCTCAGCGGGCTCGCCGTGCCACCGCAATGCTCCTTCCTCCCACTGCTCCCGCTCCTGCTGCTCCTCTGCCCGCTCCTCCCGTTCCTGCTCCTCCCCTTCCTCTCTGCCGCTGCCCTTCCTCCCGCTCCTCCTCCTCCGCTCCCGCCCCGGACCCCCTTTCGCTGCCCCTCTGCCCCACGGCCGCAGCAGCAGCGGCTCTCGGGCAGGGCGAGAAACCCCCCGGAGCCCCCGGCCATGGGCTCATGATTCAAGGTTTGCTTTTTAGGTAGTACACTCCTTTGGAGAATTTTGGGAAGGAAGGGATTTACTCAATTCAAAAGGAATGGGACTGTTAAATGAGAGACTCATTGAAACTGCCTGAAGAGATAGGTGTAGTACATGTTAAAGGATATCAAGGTGGAATGGTTTTACACATAGTGGGAATAATTTGGCAGATCAAAAGCTTAGCGATGTGTGAGAACCCCGGGATTGATTCGGGGCTCTCGTGTGGTGGTAAAGTCTCTCCTCCAACCCGTGCTTCCAAAGAAAAACTCCACAGCCTCTTGTTGTTTGATCTCAAGGCAGTTTATTGCAAGTTATCTAAAAGATTGTCCTCGCCTGCTGCGGCTGCTTTGGTCAGCGGCCCAGGCAGAGACACACACACTCCTGACACCCTCACTGTCCGGTGTCTCCGTCGTCTCTCTCCCCGCCCCAAGCTGCTGCTATCTTTTATATCATATATTACGTCTTATATGTTTATAGATTTTCCCCAATACCTACTATCTATGTTACAATGTGCTCTTCTACTCTAAACCAATCTGTGAGTGCCAACATCACCAAGAACATGGAGGTAAGGAAGAAGAAGGAGGAAGAACAGGATCAGGCCCACTTTTCTCCATCTTAGAACTCCTGACCCCCCTGTACAAAGTAAAACCCCCCTGTACAGGTGTTAAACCCCCCTGTACAATACTAAAAAATTTTACCCTCTAATTTGTGACTACTTTTACTATACCATCTAACCCTCTGTGACTGCTTGTTCCACCCTCAAAGTTGGTAATTCATTCCATGGTTCAAACTCAAAATCACAGCTGTTTTCTCCTGCTTGCCAGGGTCTAAAATGCTTCTGACCAAGGCCTGGAACCTCTGAAAATGTCTGAGGGACATTTTGGGTTCCGACAGCGATGGAGCAGAAAATGGGAGCAAGAGTTATGTTAATTCTGACCCTCGATAAGAAAGTATTGGAAATGACAAGGTTTAGTGAAGTAAACTAAAAGGAATTAC